AAAAATTGATTCAAATATATAAAAAAATACTAAAAATATAAAAATATGAATTAAAAATTCAAAAAGACATTTTTAAAAATTTCAAACTAAACAGAGTGATTTTTTTCGTATTATTTTAATTTTCTTGTAAAAAGCAATTTTTGTGAGTCCAAAAACAATTTAAAATAATTTTCTAAAAATAAAATGTGCTCAAATTTTTTAAAGTAAATAATTTGCTGAAAAGCAATCATTATTAAATGATTTTTTTAAAGATTTTTGTATAAATTTTATACTTTTTAAGTATATTTAGATTAAGTGATTCTAAAAAATTGATTCAAATATTTAAAAAATCACTAAAAATATAAAAATATGAATTAAAAATTCAAAAAGACATTTTTAAAAATTTCAAACTAAAAAGAGTGATTTTTTTTCGTATTATTTTAATTTTCTTGTAAAAAGCAATTTTTGTGAGTCCAAAAACAATTTAAAATAATTTTCTAAAAATAAAATGTGCTCAAATTTTTTAAAGTAAATAATTTGCTGAAAAGCAATCATATAAAATTTATTTTCTATTTTTTTAAAAAAACAGTGATTTTAAAAAAACAAAAACAAAAAACCTAAGCACATCAATGGGATCCATAAAAGACAAACCTCAAATCTCAAACACAAAACGAAAAAATGCATATCATCAATATTGGTTCAAGATCTATTATATTCATGAATTTTACAATATATTAATTTAATTTCAACTATATATATTCACATTCTCGAAACATATTCTAATTAGATGAGCAATAGTATTATGTAATTGTTTTTTAAGCGCCTAACATTTACAAATCCAAGGAGTTTGGTTGAGTAAAAAGATACTGGGTGTTACACTCAAATTTTCGTGTTCAACTTGCAAGATTGATAAGACATATTTTTTTAAGTTTGGACAATTATATCTAATGTTAAAAGTGTGAGTTTAAATCTCCACCTATGTGTGAATTTATGACTTGACATTATATGGGAGTGTGGGTTCAAATTCCTATTTATGTGTGAGTCCACAACTTATCATTACATAGTTGAAGCACGCAGTGTTGATAGAATGAATTTTTATCTTCGTCTATATATGGGTCTGCAACTTATCATTGTAAGATTGAAACACATAAAATTAGTAGAACAATCTTTTAAATTTGAGCAAATTATGCTCAGTATCATAAATGAGTAGTGCTATTTACCTTTAGCCTTTTTCTTAAGACTCCCGCATCCTTTATTTATTTTTTTTAATTTCAATTTTGCCAAACATAAAATTCCATTTGTATTCCCATCCCTAACTTTCTAACCCTAATTTTTCAAACCTAACTCTAATCCCACCAACCATCTCACCGACATCACCTCTAGCCATTAACACCCCCACCTTTACTCACCAACCACCAACAATGCCACTACCCACACCACTCATAGACTCTCTTTCTCTTTCTTTTATCTCTATCTATCTATCTTTCGGCAGATCGTAATCGCGATCATAGAAGATCAGTGATAGTGGCAAATCTACATTTTTTGCATGATTGTCACGATTGTAGTACTGTTTGCAATTTTTCTAGATTTCGCTCGGTAGTTCAGGGTTGAATCACCATTATTTGTTCGGTGGTCAACTGAACTACCACCATTTGTTCAGTAGTTTACATCGAACTTCCACCGTTTGTTCGGTACTGGTTTTTCGAACCAAGCGAGATGATTTCAAATGAAGAAAAATCGAACACGGGTATATAAGAGAGGGCTCTAAGGTAGTTATATGGGTGGCATCGATGACAAATGACTAAGATTCGTGGACTGCGAGATTTGGGTGAAAGAAACGAAGTAGAGAATTGCCAGTGAAAGAAGGGAAAGGAAGATAAAGCTGAAGAGGTGAGCCGTCGAAAAAGAAAAGTAACCGGTGAGAGAAAGGGGTTAAATGATTGTCTCTAGTGGAGGAGAAGGGTTGCAGGAGGGTTGTCGGCAAAGAAAAGGGATTGCCGGAAGCGGGGAGAGATTGCCGGTTGAAAAGTATTGAGATGAGATGAGAGTTCAAAGGATATATTTGGAATTACAAAAAAGGTCCAAAGAAAAATAAGAAAGCAAGCAATTTTGATGATAGGAATTCAAAAAAGTAAGGGATAAAAAGAAAAAAAATAGGAACATTGTTTGGTTTAGTTTTGGAATTATAATTTGAGTGTGGAGTTGTGATTTAAGTGTGGAATTGTGAGTTGAGTTTTGAAAAGAGAAAATTTGTTTGGTTATGAGTTTTGAAAAGTGTTTTGAAAATAATTTTTGAATTTTGAAAAAAGTTTTGAGTTATATTTTGAGTTTTGAGTTTTTAAATTTGGGAAAATTGGTCTAGGGTCCCTCTCCCACTTTTCATAATGGAAGAGATCTACAAAATTATTTTTTGATGTCTAAAGTCCTCCCATCTATCACAGAGAAATTTAGCCCCCTTCCTTTTGTCTACTCTCACGCACACATACAGACATACATGTACATACATACATACAGAGGCGGTGAGTAAGCTTGATTTGAATAGAGAGAAAGTCGAAGGTGATCGATTGCGTCGGAACAGTCGTTGTTGTCACAGTCCGGCACCGGAGATCTTTGCCAGGAACTGACTCTGGATCTGCAGCAACGCCGCCGCCGGCGAAGGAGGAGTTTGTTGAAGTGACACTCGATCTCCAAGACGATGACACGATCGTGCTCCGCAGTGTGGAACCGGCAACGATCCTCAACATCGACCAAGAGTTCGCCTTCTTCGGAGGAGCGGACATTCTGCCCGCGTCGGCGTCGGTGCGCAATCTCTGCCCTCGCTAAAGTAAAAAATAAATAAAAAATTGTGCTTAGGAGCCTGTCCAAATTGTTGAAGGTTATATCTTGATGATGGATAACTAATTGAATTACAATTGTCCATAATCAAACAACTTTGAGTGAGTAGAGATGCAAACTGATTTTATTAGTAATTATTGAGCAATGTAAAGATGAAATGCAGAGATACATACACATGCGTGCACGCGCACACACACACACATAAATATATATATATATATATATATAGCACACATATATATATAGAGAGAGAGAGAGAAAGAGAGGGGACACATACCAGAAAGGGATGAAGAAGCCCGAGGGAAGTTGTGAGAAAGGAGTTTCCGGGTAGGAGAAGCCAAAACTCTATTTGGGCGACCACAATGAAACCTTAATTATAGAAATAAGCTCGAAGATTTCCAACTGAGAGTGTAATTGACACTGCGAACCACTGAATTGCAGAGTCAGAATGTAGACTAAGAAAGAAGAACCATATTCTCTGGGTTGAAAATTGGTCAAACTGAACCCAGAGAAATTTGAATTTTCTCTGGGTTGAACCCAGAGAAATTATTTGGAAGTCTAGAATTTTTTTGGTCCAGAATTTCTCTGGACTAATTTTCTCTGGAGATAAATTCAGAGTAGAATTTCTCTGTTGATTGGTGTGAAATGGCAAGAGTAAATGGAAATTTGCAACATCAGTACAGCCACTTACAACAGTAGCAACAATGGTGGAGGATCAAACCCACGACAGAGAAATAAATTTCTCTGGAGTCCATGAAATTGTGATTGAATTGTGATTGAAGAACTATTAATTTGTTTTTGCAGGAAATTGTGATTGAATCAGCAGCAGTAGAACCAAAGATAAATTGATCAAATCAGAGTTTTATAGTTCCAGAGAAAATTCAGAATTTCTCTGAGTTCAACCCAAAGAAAATTCAAATTTCTCTGTTTAGTAGCTTCTCACCTTGCAAATTTGCAATGATTATGTGGGTGATAAAGTTCCTAATAGACAAAGCAGTTCCTCTGACTTGGGACTTGGTGGACATTCTCGTCATCTCCTAACTATGCAAAACTGTGTGCGCACGTGTGTGCATGATACATAGAGGGAAGTCGGTACCGTGCCTATTTAGTACTTGTTGCCTTTGTACATCAGTTGGCCTTCGCTTCAAAAATGTTCTTGTGTGTGCTTTTATTCTGGGCTTATGCATGATCTGTTGGTGGTATAGAAGCAGCCAAATGTGTCTGTTTGTCCATGCAGTTAATCAATGCCTGCAACAACAAAAAAAAAAAAAAAATCATTTTTTTGGCCCAAAAAGAAGGGAAATGATCATTTAAGTGTTGACTGAGTTGTGTATTGAACTTTCAACTTTCTCAAGTGTCCTATCTTTGGAAGGAACCAAGGAGTTTTTTCAAATATGATTAGACAAAGTGCTACTAATTATGAATTTTGCAGTGATTAATATTCTATGGAGCTTTGGATGGACCTGAAGCCCATTGCTTGTTGCAAAGGTGAAAACTTGGGGCTGTCAACATAAAAGCGTGGCTTCAGAATTTAGGGAACAATATCTGATATGGGCCTTTAAGAAACTTGCTACTTTGTAATTATGGAAGTGGTAACTAATGATTAGGAGATTTGATATGAATCTGCCAGTCATTTCTTTATTATTATTATTTTTCTTTGTTAACCTGTAAACTGCATTGAATGATCTTATATATCGAATGAATATGCCATTTGTTGTATATTGAAAACTGGTAGGTTGTGAGTATTTTGTTTCGGTTAAGTAATTGGGATCAATTAAGTATTTTGTTTTATTTAAAGTTGAAACCAGAGAAATTCTCTGGTTTTTGAACTGAATTTTCTCTCGGTTGGTCCAGAGAAATTCTTCTCTGGACCAATTTTCTCTGTAACATGAATTTTTTCTAAACCAATTTTCTCTGGGACTGCAATTTCTCTGGATTGATGTTGAGGGACCTTAGACATTATAAAAATATTTGATGTCCTTTATACTATAAAATCATAATATCAGGGACCTTAAAAAAAATACCACTTTAAATTTACTTCAAAAGCGAATGAGACAATATATATCTTTATCTATATAGGAGAATTCCATTATGCACACCCCTTACTATATATATATATTTTGTTTAGCAGAAAGAAAAAGCTTTATTGATGAATCAACAGAGTAGATCAAAAGCAAACGGATGAGTGCAAAGAGTATCAAAGCGGCTTAAATGATCCTAATTAAATTGGTACCGAAAATGACGCACAATCATATGCTAGCACACCATCACAGGTCGATGAGGATCAACGGAACAAGAGAGGAAACAAAACAAATAAAAGTAAACTTACAAAACCAAAGCAGCAACCCCAATATTATAAAAAAAACTCCCAACCCACTCCCAATAATAGTGCCAAACAGAGCCACCAACCCACCCTACCACCTAGAACTAGAGAGCATCCTCCTATAGCCTTCTACCCAAACCCAGCCACCATGCATACTGCCATATATTCAAACATTAAGCAGATGAACAGCACCAGCACACCCAACCACCTTTGCAGCAGCTCCTACAACAAAAAAAACTCAGGATACCACACCCCTCGTACTGCAGGAAACCTGATTTGTGGTAAATTAAATATTAAGTCCTGCACTAACAAACAACATTTGGGATGGTGATACTTAATCCATAATGCAATCCTAACTTTTACCTGCATACTAAGCACTTCCGGCTTAGGTTGTATACCTGAAAAAACACATTTATTTCTACAATTCCAAATGGACTATAGCAAAGCCATCGGAATAGCTTTCCATACAGACCACTCAAACTTCTTAAATTTAAACCCAACCCACCATTTAAGAAGCCCGTCAACTGACCCAGACACCACCCATTGAACACCCAACCAATCCACTAGACTCGACCACACCTTCCAAATAGGCGAACACAACAAGAGCACATGATCAACCGACTCAATATCAGTATTGCAGAAAACACACATGTTGCGAACACTCCCACTGAGCACACCAATTCTTTGAAGATAGTCCACTGTTTTAACCTTACCCTTCTATGCCAATCATCCAAAGAATTGCATTTTAGGCGGAGAGAGATTGTTCCATAGCAGTGATGGAACAATAGACAAAACTTCTCCCTTATTTCTATTATAAATGGAAGCAATACTGAACTTACCTACAGGGGATGCAATCCATCTTAAACAGTCATCAGCCTCAGCCACTGAAATCCTGGCTGCGTTTAATAAGCCTTCCAACCTCAGCTACCTCCCAAGCTCTTAATGGTCTTCTGAAAACCAGCAACCAATCTTCCGAAGAACCTTTCCTTTCCACAAGCAGACGAAGAAAAACTTCCTTCTCAACCGACAGCAAATAGAGTCTTGGAAACGTAGCATTCAAACACTGATCACCAACCCACTTATCAACCCAAAATCTAATTCGAGATCCATTTCCAACCACAATCTTGTAATTGGACTGATAGAAATTCCCCAATTGTGGATTACAGCTAGCGACCGAAAGAATATCCCCCCACACTCTTGAAACCCTCCTACTATCCTCTAGAAATGGCATCCAGCTCCCTTCAGTATACAGAAGGAACCAAGGAGTTTTTTCAAATATGATTAGACAAAGTGCTACTAATAATGAATTTTGCAGTGATTAATATTCTATGGAGCTTTGGATGGACCTGAAGCCCACTGCTTGTTGCAAAGGTGAAAACTTGGGGCTGTCAACATAAAAGCGTGGCTTCAGAATTTAGGGAACAATATCTGATATGGGCCTTTAAGAAACTTGCTACTTTGTAATTATGGAAGTGGTAACTAATGATTAGGAGATTTGATATGAATCTGCCAGTCATTTCTTTTTTATTATTATTTTTCTTTGTTAACCTGTAAACTGCATTGAATGATCTTATATATCGAATGAATAAAAAATTTATAATTTGATTTTGTTAATATGATTGATAGCATAAAATATAAATTACCCACAAGAGGAAAATAAATTCGATTGTAATTAGTTCAACAGTGTTTTTTTTTTTTAATGTGATTATAGTATTCAATGATTCTTTTTGGGCAGGTTTTTAATGAGATTGTATTGTAATTAGTTTAAATGGTTTCTTTTTTTTCATTTATTTTTTTATTAGTAAGAAAAATGTTGATGTGATTGTAATTTGTTCAATGGTTCTATTTTTTAATGTGATATGTTATAGTTAGTTCAATGAGTTCTTTTTTCTTCCATTTACTTTTTTTTTTTATTTTTGAGAAAAACTATGTGATGTGATTGTAGTTTGTCAATGATTTTTTCTTAATTTGGATTTAATTACTTTTATTTATACTGTTTAATTGATTTTTCTTAAACAAATTTTTTTTATTATGAAAAAAATGTGATTGTCTTAGATAGCATAAAAATATTGTGACTTTATGATTAAAGTTACTCTCCTTTTTTGATTTGTAGTTTGGTTTAGCTAAAAAAAAAAATTATAATTTGATTTTTTTAATCATGATGAGGTTAGATAATATAAACACTCAAAATAAGAGAAAAATGTGATTGGTTATGTTAGCTTCAACGGTAACCTTCTTTTTTTTATTGTGATTATAGTTAGTCGTGGTGGCTTATTTTTATTAATGTCGATTGTATTGTAATTAGGTTTAATGAGTTCTTTTTTTTCATTTATATTTTATTATGGGAAAAATATGATATGATTGCTAGTTTGTTCAATGGTTCTTATTTTTTACACTGTGATTGTATCTGAGTAGTTTTAGAAATTGTGAATAAAAATATTTTGTTAGTGTTCTGTTTTTTTTATTTATTTATTTTATTATGAGAAAAAGATGTGATTTGTTGTTCAATGTTTTTTTTAACGTGATTAATCGTTTTATTACTGCTTTAATGGTTCTTCTTATATAATTACTTTTTTTATATGAAAAAAATATTGATTGTAGTTAGGAAGCATAAAAAATATTTGTGATTGTATGATTGAAGTTATCTCATTTTTTTTATTGTATTTGCTTGCCAAAAAAAAATTATAATTTGATTTTTTTAATATGATGAAAGTTAGATAAATACTAAAACACACTCACAGAAGAAAAAATATGATTGTAATTTATTTCAACGGTTATTTTTCTTTAAATGTAGATGGTCAGGAAGAATGTCCTATACATTTCAGAAGGTTAAAAAAAAAATGGTAAGTATAACATTTTACTTTATAAACATTTATAATACGTAACTATACTGTATTGTTCATAATTATAATCTACGCCTTTGTTGGCAATACTTTTTTAGTTTGGCTTATTTGGTCTTTTTGACTTTTTTTAGCCTTGAGATTTTTTGTTCGTTTGGATTCTGATTGGATTTCTTGGCTTTTTAGCTCTCTGGAATAGTGGATTTTTTTTAGTCTTTTTGTGATTTTGGCTTCGTGATTTTTTAATTTTTTTTTGTCTTTTTGTAATTATTTAGCCAAATATGATAACAAACACACCTAAACTATCATGTTGACAATGCAGAATGCTGATGGAATTGCTCACAACAATTTAAATTTTAGTTATTTTTTTGTTTACCTTATTCAGTGAATTTCGAAACAATGTAACAAATTTCTTATTTTTATTACTTTAATTATGCAATGTCAACATTTTCTTTTAAAATTACATATATTTATACTAACAATTTATAAATATGTTTGACATAATATAAATAGTCTTTTTTTTTTAAAATTTAATCCCGTGCATAGCACGGGTGATATTGCTAGTCTATACTATATATTAAGCAAAGGGGAGTTTTTAACCAAAGCTTCTAGGAGCTTCAATCTCCACAATCTAATTTTCCTAATTTTTTGATTTTTTTTTAAAAAAACTTAGCATTTATTAACTTATCCCAACCCCTAAGTCTTACCCTCATAATAACACTTTAATGCATTAAGAACAAGTTATAAAAAAATTCTTTGAAATCCAACACATATGAATTCCTTGAAAGTCCCAACAGATATGATTATTATCCCTCATAATAACACTTTAATGCATTAAATAGCATAAAAAAAAATTCTTGAAAAGTTCCAACAATTTATTATTATCAAAATATTAAACTTTAATAATATAAATAAAAAAAAGAAGACATTTAATTTCTTGAAAAGTCCAACACATATGATTATTATCAAAATATTTAACTTTAATATATATAAAAAAGGGAAAAAAAGAAGACATTTAAAAAAAAAAAAAGATATTTAAAAATCACAATTCACATATATAGATAATTGTAAATATATTAAGAAAAAATGAGGTTTCTAAATCCCAAGTCCTGTGAGAGCTCCAATCTTTCAATCTTAATTTCTAAATTTTTTATTTAAAAAAAAAATCTCAGCATTTATTAACTTTTTCCAATCCACATGCTGCATTTATTGATTTGGTCAAAATCTCTGATTAGCATTTAAAACCCCTCATACAAATAATTATAGATACAACTGTTCATAGTTACTGCAATAGCTTTTTTAATTTCTCCTGTACACTATGGTTAGAGATAAGATTGTTATAATTATTTTTTTAAAAAAATCTTAAAAAACATAATTTATATATTAATTTTTTTTAAATATATAAATATATATAATTATCCCGTGATAGCACGGGTGAGGCTGTATTAAACAAAAGCGGGTTTTAACCCCAAGCCTGTGGGAGCTCCAATCTCCCAATCTAAATTTCATGATTTTTTTATTTAAAAAAAAAATTCTTAGCATTTATTAATTTCTCTCGACTCTTAAGTTTTACCATCATAATAACACTTCAATTGCATTAAGAACAAGCAGAAAAAAAAATTCTTTGAAATCCAATGCATATGAATTCTTTTAAAAAGTCCCAACGTGTCACGCCCTCAAAATAACAACATTAAACCATCAATAAAGACATGCATGATATGTGAAAGTTCCACATTCTTTCATTATCAGAATTTCATTACAAAAAGTATTACATGTTAACGACAAAAGCAAATGCCCTAAAGGCTTACAGCTTTCCAGTTAACACTGGTGACAACAAAAGAGTACTAACTCATTTACACATTAAGCCCTTGACTGAATTTACATGTAATACATCAAAAATAAAACGACAAAAGTGTGCCCGCTCTTAGCCTCCCAAGCTATGTCCTTGAGGTGGCATGCTACCTGTACCTGGAAATGATATTCCCATATAGGGTGAGCCACAGCCCAGTAGAAACATACTAAACCAAACATGAACAATGACTAAAAGATTAGCAGTTGATAGATGGTCAACACCTGATACTTTCCTTTATCACACTTACATTTTCATGACATACTAGTCCATATTACTATTCATTTTCCAATTCCTTTCAATTCTCAATCACAACCATGGCTCAGAACCTGGCCAAACAACTCATATGAGACATTAACTCATATCAAAACACTTCCCATTTCATATTAGATAAGCATACTAGCTATATCAACAACAACAGATAAGCATACAAGCTATATCATCACTTCCACAGATATGCATATGAGCACTATCACACTTTCAATGACAAGCATATGAGCTCTGTCAACACATTAATAGATAAGCATATGAGCTCTATCTATGGAGTCCTCCCCCATCTCCTCCCAACAATCCGGTTTAGAGGTCTATCCCCTATCTTCCCCTAAACCATGGAGTACATCCCCTATCTCTCCTCCAACACAACACAATGCATATAAACAACAATTATATCACATCATCACACAATACAATAATAATAGTATCTTTTCAATCGTCT